AGGCTAAGTTCAAAAGTCTTAAGCCTTAGGCCTTATGTCCAACAGATGCACACTCACTCAGACCACAGTGATCAGGTCCGGAACCAAGGAAGACTTTTCCTGGTGTGGAGTGGACAACCGGTTGAGGAGAGGATCCTAGGAAGAAGTTGCAGCTCTCACCAAGGTCCAGAAGAGGCGGTAGAGTTTGAGAGCCGTGAGGATCATGCAGAGGATCAGGAAACGATGACAAGTGATGGGATGTCAGGTTCTCATCAGGCTCTCCAGCTCGAGTGCATCCTTGTTACGGCTGGCTGAATCCCTGTTCATTTGCTCTATTATTTATACTAAATTTTGGGGCTTTTTGAACCCCTTTCAATCCTTATCAGCTACCACTGGATTTCTCGGTGACATCCTTTACTCTGGGGTCAGAATCATCTGGTCTGGAGGTTTCCACCCTGATCTCCTCACCTTTCCCTTTTATCAGGCGAGGACAGCCTGCCAGGGGCTTCACTCTGTTTATCGGGGTGAGGGGAAGGAACTTGTTTTGTGGCCATACTGGAGGGCTCTGTGGTGTGCCGGGTGAAACTGCAGGTTTTGTTATGCTCGAATTCGGGACCCCCAAAAGACCACCAGAGACCCAAGATGGATGTAAGCAGCAAAGAGGTGTTTATTGCGAGCTAGCCCCGTCCTCCATGCGCACACAGCAACTGGTGATGCTGAGAGGCCCCGAGCCCAGGGTTTGCAGCAGTTTTATACCTTCTTTGGAGAAGGCAGGGATCCCCACATACATCATAGCATCTCTTAGCAAATCATCACACACTGCGGGAATATCAAATAACGACTCTACAACATGATTAGCACATTCACTGGCGGGAACAAGTTGGGTAGGGGTGATTGGTTACTACAAGAGGGGGATTTATTTGAACTGATTGGTTTAAGCCAAGAGGGGTGTTCATGCTGAACTACATGGTTTCCCAACACGTTATCAACCACCATAAACTACTGGGAGGGTCATCTGGCATCCCAGGTATTTCCCTGTCTCAAACTGATTGGTGGCTGCTAGGGGGTTGCTATGGATCCCCACCTAGCCTGACTGAGTCAGGGACACCTGGCACAGCAGATCTCTTCTGTTATTTGTAGATAAACAATTTAGCAGGGTGGGAATGTGCCTAGGAGTGCTTTGTGGGTCTTTCCAAGGACAAAGGTCATGTCCCTTCCTTGGACAGGCTTTGCTCTGAGGTAGAGACTGGTTTTTCAGTTTCAAACTGGAGTTTTAAAAATGGTGTTGCTTAAGCTCAGGCCTAAGGCCATCCTCACAATAAGTTTGATTTATTGGATTTATACAGTTGAATAAGGCTTTAGAAAGATTTTGTCTAATGAGTTTATTTGCCCTGTCAGGTATTTAAAATGCCACATTGAGCCAGGCATGGTGGCTAATCCCAGGGAGGCTGAGGCAGGAGGGTTGTAAGTTCAAAACTATCCTCAGTAATTTAGCAAGACCCAGCCTTAAAATAAAAAATAACAAGGGCTGGGGATGTGGCTCAGTGGTTAAGTGCCCCTGTGTTCAATCCCTGGTACCAAAAAAAGGAAACAAATCTGGGCACAGTGGCCCATACCTATAATCCAAGCAGCTCAGGAGACTGAGGCTGGAGGATCACAAGTTCAAAGTCAGCCTCAGCAAAAAGTGAGGTGCTAAGCAATTCAGTGAGACCCTGTCTCTAAATAAAATACAAAATAGGGCTGGGGATGTGGCTCAATGGTTGAGTGCCCCTGAGTTCAATCCCCAGAACCACCCCCACTAAGAAAAAAAAAACAAAACAAACCAAACAAAATGAAACAATAAAGTACAGTGTTTAAAAAATACTAGAAAATTTAGCTTTTATTTTTTAAAAGGGAAGTACAGCTTTGTGTTTAAGGGGATTGACACTGGAGCCAGACTGTCTAGGTCAAAGATCATTAAATGATGGCCTCCTATTTGTTTCTGCACAGTTGACAAGCTAAAAATGGTTTTGACATTTTTAAATGGTTGAAAAAATTGAAAAGAATATTTTGTGACATGTGAAAATCACATAAAATTCAAGTTTCAGTGCTCATAAAAAGTTTTGTGAGCACTGTCATGATACAACAGCACAATAAAGTAGTTGTGATAGACACTGTATGGACTGCAAAATCAAATGTGTTTACTATTCGACCCTTTAAAGACAAAGTTTGATGACACTGGCCTAGGTTCAAATCCCAGCTTTGCTATTCACTACTATAGCCCTTGGCAAATCACTTTAACCTATATTTCAGTTTCCTCATCTGTAAAATGGGAATAAGAATTATTATTATTAGTTATTATGATGATTACATAAATAAACATTTGAAAAGTGTTAAAAATGCTTGGCACATAGTAAGTGTGATGTAAATTCTTTTTTAAAAAAAATAGCTTTATTTTATTTATTTATTTTTATGTGGTGCTAAGGATCAAACCCAGGGCCTCACACGTGCTAGGCGAGCGCTCTGCCGCTGAGCCACAACCCTAGCCCCAAGTGTGATGTAAATTCTTAAAATTAGAGAAATTTAACCTGTTAAGCTTGAATTATCCAAATATTAATTAAAGAATAAATAAAAATTATTTTATAAAAATTACTACTTTTATGGATAGAATAAGAATTTAAAATTGAACCTGATTAACAAAATGTAGAATTTCAAATCTAGATCTTAAATAAATTAAATATTAAACAGCCAAGTAGCTCTGTTAGTCCTTTCCCAGCACCTCTGGGATGGTGGGCCAGGGTTTGTAAACAATTCTTTGGTCTAGATCAACGTTCTCTGTTCCTAATCAATAAGTAAGACTTCTCTAAGACTGGGAGACTGTGTCCTATGATAGCTGTTTTTTTTTTTTTTTTTTTTTTTTTTTTGGTACTAGGGATTGAACTCAGGGGGCACTGGAACACTGAGTTGCACCCCCAGCCCTATTTTGTATTTTATTTAGAGATAGGATTCACTGAGTTGCTTAGTGCCTTGCTTTTGCGAGGCTGGCTTTGAACTTGCGATCCTGTGTAATAGTTTGGTATCTGGACTTAAGCCTGGATTGAAGTTTGACCTCCTAGATATCTGATTTTGGGCAAGTCTTATTTTAAAGCAGGGCTAGCAATATCTATTTCATAAAGGTATTATGAAGGTTAAAAATGCTGATGCACATAAGTGCTGAGTGCAACACCTGGTTTTTAATTACCATCCCAGAAACATCAATTATTATTATTGCCATTATTCCAAGAGCTGGCCACAGAGTGAATTACTGCTGATTGCTAAACTCCTAGGACAGCAGCAGTTTGTGTATAGTGTGGTTTGAGCAACACCGGGAAGCCCTCTCTGGTTGCCTTGATGTTCTGAAATTCTACCATATCATATGCCTTCAGTTAAGTAGTACTTTTCTGGAATCCTCTTTTTTAAACGAATATAGGCACTAGGCATTTTCCTTATGATGGCATCTTGGGAACAAGGGACACACAAGAGATGGGATTTGTGATCTCCAGGAGAAAGGGGATAGACAGATCAGGGCCTCAGAAAAGATGGCGAAAAAAATAAGGAAGAGCGGAAATGTTGCACAATCTTCTATCTTGCGTAGAATCCCAGTTTCCCTAAGGTGTGAGAGCAGCTTTCATCTTTGCAGGGATGAATTCACACAGTCACGCCTCTTCGGCCCCTAGGGCGTCCACCTTTGAAATCTACAAGACAGCCAGCCCTGCCTCAGGGCGCCATCTGCTGTTTCCTTGTCTCCTCTCGCGCAACCCAGACGGGGAGGTACTTTGCCTTTCTGGGAGGTCATCCACCAGCAACTCTGAACCTCTTCTTCCCTCCTTCATGACACCAAAACTCCCTTGGTTTTGGACCCAGGTGAGATATGAGGGTTTGTTTCCCAGTGACCTTCTGGTTTGACACCCGAGCTGATTCTCTAGCAGATGGTGGAGCCTGAGGCTCAGGCTCATATTCCGTGATTAAAAGTATTTCTTGCCTCTTGTTGCTGCTTTTACAGTCTGGAGCAGCACGAATAAGGCCATCATGTCCTTGACCAGTGTTGAGGTAGGATGCAAGGGAGAGGAGTGATTCACTGTGCATCTTTCCTATACGCTACCAGCTTGAGGTCTGAGGATGCGTTGGACCCTATTTTGGTCCAGAGTTTTTCATCATCCAGAGCTATTTTCCCGATTACGCAGAAGTGGCTGAGAAATTGGGGACAGGCCTCTATCTCCATGGAAACTGTTACACTGCCCTATGAGAGCAAATTGGAAGGGGTGGGGAGCAAGCCTGGGAGGTTAGAGATCCCCGGAATCCCGCGTGTTAGGGTATTTAACCTGGACTTGGGAAGATCCGTCAGAAGGGAATTTAGAGGAGACTTAATGGAAGAAATTGATGCTCAGAAAAAGCAGAAAACCACTTCGGTTACAGTGTACTCCCTGAGAAGAGGCAGGATAAACTGAACCCAGAATTCTGCAACCTCGTCTTTACCCCAAAGCCTCAGACCCTCTTAACTCCATTTCGTTTTGAGTTTTCCAGTATACAAATCCTAGCGTCCCTTTGGAGCGCTTCCACAGCGATTCTACAAGACTTCCCCTTTAAAGAGCTCTATCCCTTTAAGACTCACGGCTCCTCCGGTCACGCTGTCGCAGTCCTAAGGCCCCGCCCCTCAGGCAGCTTCCGCTGGGCCTCGGCCGCTGAGCGGCGGTCACTGCCCCTTTAAGCCTGAGCCCCGCCCCTTCCCTTTCCCCTCCCCCTATCCCGCACCAGGTGCCCCCACGGGTCGTGCAGCGAGGTGCGCGGCGGTGAGCGCTGGGCCCCGAGGGGCATGCGGACGCGTCCCGGGGCTCCCCTCTCCCCTGCGGTGGCCTCTGAGATCCCAGGGGGCGGGGCTGGAGTGGCGAGCCGGCGGCAGTGATGGGGTGGTCGGGAGCGCGGGAGGGGTGGTCGGGAGCGCGGGAGGGGTGGGCCGAGGTCGGGCCCAGCGGGGGAGGGGCTCAGGTGATTTGGGGGGGAAGGGACGGCCCCCCGCAGTACTCACCCGACTAAAGGGGTGTGGGGGACCGGGTTTACGGCCAGGCGGCGTTTCCATTCCCCTGCCCAGCCAGTGTCTCAGTCAAGTCTGGTTGATGAGGCCGTCCCCCGTATTCCTCCGGTGTCCAGGCCCCTTTGTCGGGGGCGGCTGTTGGCCTGTCCTGCCCCTGAGATCGCTGTGGTGAAAGCTGCTGGAGAAGCCTAGGCTGAAGGTGGTGGCTTTTGAGGGGGGCGCCAGTAGGGTACCGGCTCCCTTCGGACTCCTGGCAGAGGTGGGGGGTCACAGCAAAAGGCACAGGGGTGGAGGGTGGCCAGTAGTGGGCCACCTGGCCCATGTGGGATAGATGTCTGCCCACTTCCTCTAGATAACTTGTTGTGTTGTGGTTTGGAGAAGGGTCTGGCCTGGGGACCTCAGTTCCAATACTACTCTGTCCATCAGAGAGCTGGCGGTCACCATGGCAATGCGGGAGCTGGTGGAGGCTGAATGCGGGGGTGCCAACCCGCTCATGAAGCTGGCTGGCCACTTCACCCAGGACAAGGCCCTTCGGCAGGAGGGATTGAGGCCTGGCCCCTGGCCTCCTGGAACCCCAGCCTCTGAGACGGTGAGTGTTCCAGTGGTGGAAATTCTCCAGTAGGGCTGGGATGGAGGGTCTAACTGTATACTTTAGAATAGCCTCTTTCTCTGTTGTGTTGCAAGTGATACTAGTTACCACTTAATAGCACTGTACTAAGCACTGTGCATCTTTAGATGAAAGCAACCATTTTATAGATGAAGAAACTGAGGCTCGGTAAAGGCTTTGACTTGTCCTTAGGTCATATAAATGGGAGAGCTGGAATTTGGCTTTCTTATGTTTGCTTGTGTGCTTGTGGCCTTCATCACTGTACCCTATTGCCTCTCTTTCTTTTCTTAGGTCTCCAAGCCTTTAGGAGTAGCCTCTGAAGATGAGGTAAATTTACCAGTTCTTTTTCTGCCCCATTGTTCTCTTGCCCATTGTTGTTTTTCACCCTTAAACTTAGTTAATCCGTATTTCAATCTTTGGACTCTCCTGACCAAATTTGCTTGGTAGTGTTTTTTTTTTTTTTTTTTTTTTTTTGGTATTCTTTGTTTTCAAATCTGTGGAATGAAAATTTCTCCCTTTGTGTCTCCAGTTTCTGTTTATCTTTCTTTGTATCTGACATCAGTATCTACATCTAGTGGACCCTGTCTCTTCTGGGGCCTCCTGATCCCAAGGTTTCATTTCACCATCTCTCTTGTGACAGTTGGTGGCTGAATTCCTGCAGGACCAGAATGCACCACTTGTTTCCCGAGCCCCCCAGACCTTCAAGATGGATGACCTCCTGGCAGAGATGCAGGAGATTGAACAGTCAAATTTCCGCCAGGCTCCCCAGAGAGGTGGGTTCCAGTGAAAGGTACAGAGGTGGACAGGCTGATGAGAGGGGAGATCACTATTTTCCGTGCAGGCAGGGCCAAGGGTATTCCATATGTAGTGAATTGAGATTCAGAGGAAAAAGGAACAGTGTTTTCCTGTGCATTCAGGGTTTCTTAAGCATTGTGCTGACAAATATATTAATTTCCCTATTTCTTAGTCTTCTCTGTTTCTTTTAAGCCCCTGGTGTGGCAGACTTGGCCTTATCTGAGAACTGGGCTCAGGAGTTTCTTGCAGCAGGAGATGCTGTGGATGTAACTCAGGATTATAATGAGACTGACTGGTCCCAAGAATTTATCGCTGAAGTTACAGGTGAGGCTTATCATGGGAAAAAAAAAATCTATAATAGTACTTATGGGGCAATTAAAATTCTATACTATTTTCCTAATTCCGCTTAGGATATACAGTGATTTTGACCGCTTAAGACTTTTCTGGCTTCTTGACTAATTTTTACAAGACATTGAACCTGATTTCCCTTAGAATAGAGATCTGATTTTGAATTGGATAAGCAATTTTGTATATAGAGAGAATGAGGTTTTAGGCCTACCTCTTTATTATCTAGAACTTTATTACTGTAATTTAGTGGAGAGGAGTCGGAGATTGGAAGGATGGCCCAGGAGAAGAGAAATGCTCACCACAGCACCTGGGATTCTGGTGTTAAGTCATCATGTACAGAACTGGGGTTTTGTAAGTATGATTGTGGAGTTCAGTGACCCAAAGAACAATAGGCCTTCTTTATCTGTGGGTTCCTCATCTTGGCTTCAGACAACTGCTGATTGAAAATATCTTGGAAAAAAAATTGTATCTGGTTGCTGGGCGCAGCTTAGCATGCCATAATCCCAGTGGCTCGGGAGGCTGAGGCTGGAGGATCATGAGTTCAGAGCCAGCTTCAGCAACTCGGTGAGACCTGTCTCAAAATAAAATATAAAAAAAAAAGGTCTGGGGATGTGGCTCGCTGGTTAAGTGACCAGTTTAATACCTGGTACCAAAAAAAAAGTATAGACTACAGACTTTTTTCCCTTATCATTGTTCCCTCAACAGTATAATAGTATAACAATGATTTACATAGCATTTATGTTACATTAGGCATTATAATAATCTAGAGATGATTTAAAGTATATGGGATGTGAATAGGTTTTATGCAAATTCTATGCCATTTTATTTTGAGAGAGGAACATTTGCAGATTTTGTGGGACAGAGGGGGCCTAGAGCTACTCCCTTATGGACACTGATAGGTGGACTGTACGTGGTCTTGAAGGACAAAGACCATTCCTTGATGTAAAAATTGTAATAATAGCTAATATTTACTTTCAGTGTTCTAGGCTTTGTTTTTTAAGTGTTTGGAATGCATTATCTAACCCCATGAGAACCCCAAGTTCTAGTTACTGTTTTTAATCATATTTTATAGATAAGAAAACTGAGGTTTAGAGGTAAAGTAACTTGCTCAAGGACATACAACTTTGTAAGTGGTAGAGTTGAATTTGACTCAGGGTTTGACAGATTCTAGTTCCTATGGGTTCAACTGTTAAACTCTCCTGTCAGGCCTACAGTTCATGTATTTATTTTTTTGGTACTAGGGATTGAACCCAGGGGTGCTTTACCACTGAGTTACATGCCCAGCCCCCTCCTTTTTTTTTTATTTTTAAATTAGTGTTTAGATAAGGTTTTGCTAAATTATTGAGGTCCTTGTAAAGCTACTGAGGCTGGTTTCAAACTTGAGATCCTCTTGCCTCAGCCTCCTGAGTTGCTGGGATTACATGCCTGTGCCACTGTGCCTGGTCCCAGGCCTGCAATTTACTTTCTTTATTCTTGCTTGGCTACTGGCTTCAGGGTCTCACTCCAATTTCCTCTCTGAAAGCATCTATTGCTCATTGTATCCCTTAGGATTGGTTCATCTCCCAGTCTGATTAGGGACAGGGAGAAGGACTGTCTTTTCAGCTTTCTTCTTCCTGATTGTTTATATAGAGAAAAGCACTGCCCTTTTTTTGCTTTAAGAAATCAAGAATAGCCAGACATGGTGGCACATGCCCTTAATCCCGGCGGTTCAGGAGGCTGAGACAGGAGGATACGAATTCAAAGCTAGCCTCAGGAACGGTGAGGCCCTGAGCAACTCAGTGAGACCTTGTCTCTAAATAAAATACAAAATAGGGCTGGGGATGTGGCTCAGTGATTGAGTGCTCCCGAGTTCAATCCCTGGTACCCCCCCCCCAAAAAAAAAAAAGAACCCCAAAATGTAACAATAAAGCTCACCTTTTTAGATGAGGAAACTGAGATTCAGGAAGGGTAAATACTTTGTCTAAAACCATTCAGTAACAGATAATATTCAAACTCATGTCTGTTTGACTTTAGGCTCCATACTTTTGATAACTGTTCCGCTAAAAATGAGACTGTTCCTTGTGGAATTGTTAAAATCTGAGCTTTGACAAAGACCTTCTGTCAGAAACTTTCAGGTTTTTAGACACACCTTAGACTTAGCATGCTGTCTTTTTAAAAATATTTTTTAATTGTAGATGGACACAATACTTTTATTTATTTATGTTTATATGGTGCTAAGGATTGAACCCAGTGCCTCACACATATTAGATGAGCACTCTACCACTGAGACACAACCCCAGCCCCAGCATGCTGTCTTTTAACACACAGAAACTTTTATTATATGTGTGGGCATTGGTGGTTTTCAGTGACTCAGGAAAAATAATCATTATTATGATGAGTGTTGAGATTGATTAAATTTTTTGCTGCAATTACCTGAATTGCTTGCAATCACTGAAATCTTCCTTAACTCATAAATGAAAAACAACCTTTGAAAAACATGTTGGACCTGTCTCACCTGTTAAACCCTCTTTGGAGATCTCTTCTATTTTGTATGTTTTTTTGGAACTCTGCCTGCTTCACAGAGGCGTGGACATGGGAACCTGGGAGGGGAAGTTGAGCTTTCTGAAGTCTGCCTTCATAAAAGTGGCTTAGTGTAGTAGTATTTTGCTTTCCATGAAGTAGGCCTTTGGTAGTGAATAAATGAGTAAAGATCTGGGAGAAGAAGCTGAAGGAAATTAATTTTCTAATAATTAATTTTCTTTCTTTATTTTTAATATATATGTTTTTTATTTGTAGATGGACACAATACCTTTATTTTATTTATTTTCATGTTGTGCTGACGATTGAACCCAGTGCCTCATGCATGCTAGGCAAGCACTTTATTATTGAGCTATAACCCCGACTCTTAATAATTTTTTTTTTTTTATCTTTTATTGCATTTGTGACTGATATTAAAGCAGTGGTAGAGGTTAACTGTTGCTTTATGGGTAAGTAGATTTTGAAACAAGCAAAGGATATACTGTAAATTCTTACTATTTAAAAATCCTCATTATTGAGATTCTAAAATTGGATTTATTAAGCTCAATTTCTTTCTTTTTTTTAAAATATTTTTTTTAGTGGTAGATGGACATAATACCTTTATTTTATTTATTTTTTTAATGTGATGCCTGGGATTGAACCCAGTGCCTCATACATGTTAAGCAATTACTCTACCACTGAGCCGCAATCCTGGACCCAATTTCTTTTTTATTTTATTTTTAAATATGGAAATAATTATGGTTTCACTGGAAGTTGCAAAAAAAAAAAAAAAAAAAAAGTGCATGAAAGTTCTGTGTATCCTTTACCTAGTTTCCCCCAGTGGTAATATTTTGCACAATCTTTAGTTACATACAACATCAAAACCAGGGAATTGCCTTTGGTGTAATTCACAGGGTTTATTAGACTTCACCAGTTTCTGTCTATAACTCACATTTTAACTTAAGGTAAAAATCAAGATGCAGAAGTATTTAATCACCATGTGAACCTCAGTTTAAATTCCTGATGGAATTCCACCTCTCCTAAATTTTCTGGCTACATAATTCTGTCTCACTGAGATCTTGAGATAAAACACATTTCAGGGTTCTTGAATTTAAGACCCAATTGGCATGGTATATGAAGTTCATAGAATAATTGTGAGATATAAATCTGCACTTACAGGAAAATGCCATGGGCATAAGAGGGAACATGAGAGGAAGAGGAAGGATTAGTTATTTTTCAACCAAATTGTAGGACTAAGGAATAGCAATAGATGATTGGCAACAAACCTTCTCTGGTTGGAGGAGGAAGAGGCTGTAGAAAAAAAAAGGAATAGGCTCTTACCCTCTTACTCTTACTCTCTCTCCCCCCTTTCCTCTCTCTCCCCCCCTCTCCTCTCTCTTCCCCCCCTCCTCTCTCTTCCCCCCTCCTCTCTCTTCCCCCCTCCTCTCTCTCCCCCTCTCCTCTCTCTCCCCCCTCTCCTCTCTCTTACCCCTCTCCTCTCTCTCCCTCCTCTCCTCTCTCCCCCTCCCTCCCTCCCTCCCTCCCTCTCTCTCTCTCTCTCCTCCCTTCACTTCTGCAACTGGCCGCTAAGATCCTGCTAATAAAATCTTGGACAGGTAAAAAAAAAAAAAAGAAAAAAAAAAAAAGGGAATAACAGTCTCACTGCAATGTTTTCTAATTTTTATATGGGTTTGCCATGAATAGATAATAATGATAGTAGCTGAAACATTTGTTACTATGTACTTTGGTCTAAACAGAAACCTCTGTGAAGTATTTATTATTATCCCTATTTTATAGATAAGGAAACAGAAACTTAGAGAATTTAGTAACTTTTTCTCAGATATACAGTGAATAAGTGGTGGGTGGAATTGGGATTGAATGTGGATAAGCTGACTAGAACCTGCATTTTTTCGATAGTGCTATTATCAAACAAAGAAGCTGTCTTTGCTAAGGGTAGGAAGTTCTGAGTTTTTGATTTTCAAGTTTGGAATAGATGTGCCTAGACAGAATGAATACATAGTGAAAAATTATATGAGGTGAACATTATGAATTGGATATTTAGGTCATTCATGGCTTCTAACTCTACTAATGTATGTGACCTAGGACAGTCTCTTTCCCTCCTTCAGCCTTAGTTGCTTCAATTTCAGACATATTCAAATGGATGTGATTTTCTGTAAGAATTTCTTAACCAAGATTGTGAAGGTCAAGCATTATTCTTTTGATTATTTTATTTGATTCTTTTTTTGGAGCAGGTCATATATATGTGGCAAATATATATGACCAAATATCAAATTATAGCAATTTGAGGATGACTTTTCTCACCTTTGCGATTTTTTAAAAAAATCTGCCTCATGTCTGTTGTGAAGTTCAGGTGCTTTACATTTTTTCAGTTGCTTCTGGTCATTGAGAAGGGCATTTCACAAAAAAGTTACTGTGAATTTGAGGAGCACTTGTAGCCAGAATATGCTTTTGTAGAAACACTTGTGAGTAAGAGGGAACATGAGAGGAAGAGGAAGGAATAGTTATTTTTCAACCAAATTTTAGGACTAAGGAACTGGGATGTGTTATAAAGTCTGTTGGTATGAAGCATTTCCTTTTCAGTCTCCATACTTGAGCTCTGTATTTGGGGCAAAGGAAAGAAAAATGTTGCTTGTAGGAACTAAAAAAGAGAAGGATTGTTGAGAGTCCTTGAAATTAAGAGACAGAGTCTATGGCCAAAAGTCTGTTACTTACTGTATTTTTATTGTATTAGTTATATACTACTTACTTATGATCATGAATATGTATTCTGGGACTTGTTTTTTTTTTTTTTTTTTTTTTAGGTTTTTGACATTACTTTCTCAGATTTTGAGATCATTGAAATTATTCAGGCAAAGTCTCAGTTAAAATGAAATGGAAGGTTTTGTTTTACCTTACTACTGCAAGGACAAATCTGCCTTTTCAGTGTTAAAAGCAGTGACTGTCAAATCTTTATGTTAGAGACAGACCAGATGATCTTTTCTGTGTCTGATTTTTTTAAAGATGCGGACGCAGAGCTGAAGGGAAGAAAGAGCATTCCATCCTCATGCCTTCTCTCTCTGTTTCCTTATTCTTTAGGAAACCTAATCTGTTCCACTGCTTTTTTTTTCTTGTCCTGGGATGGTAGGACAAAGTCCTGGAGGTTGAGAAACAGTTCAGCACTCTACTCTGATTCAGTTTGTTGCCTTGGTAATGTTTGTTTTGATGTTGTAGCAGTGCCCTTTGTCACTTAAGCTTCTAAGATAATTTCTAGAATTAGACTGAAAAACATGGTCTTTTAAAATGAATTGGAAGTGACAAAAGTTAGTGTTTACCTCTGGGATTGGGAGCATGAGGGAATCTCAGGGAGCTGTAAACTTGCTTTGGGTCATGAGTGCAATGTATTCATATGTGTAAATTAATTGAGCTGTATGCTTATTGGCACCTATTCTGTACCTTGATGATTATATGTTAACCTTTCAATTAAAAAGTAAAAAGTTGGGCTGGGGATATAGTCAGTTGGTAGAGGGCTTGCCTTGCATGCACAAGGCCCTGGGTTCAATCTCTAGCAACACACACACACACACAAAGTGAAAAGTCACCATCCCATGTGTCATCCCAGCAGATCCATGCGTCTCTCATTCTAGCCTATTTTTCTGCTGTTCACATTCCCTTAGTAGGTATGTTATGGTGAAATGAGCTGCCTTTTGTGGGGGTGGTGTGACTCTGGTAGAGAGAGAGGTTTGGAACTCTTCTCCTTTAGCTCCTTACTGGTCCTCATGACTCCTGTGAGGAAGGTGGAAGCTCTGGTGCTTGCTATTTCTTATTGAGGTCTTATGGACTTCAAGAAAAAGAGTTTGTTTCTTAATCCTTTCCTGAGCCTGCTTATTTGGTTTCCTGTACCTAATTCTTGGTAAACTTCTATCCCAGGCCCCTTTGGACTGGTTATTGAAAATGTTGAAGATTTGGTAGTATTTTCTTTTGACTAAAAGTCTCTGAGGGAGTCAGCAGGGTTTTGTCTATGTTGGCCTGGTTAAGAGAATCAGCTGAGTGTATGCATTATTTCCCTTTCCCTGATCCCACCCTGAATCCTGGGTTATTTCCCCAACTCTGCTTCTTGCAGACCCCTTGTCTGTGTCCCCTGCCCGCTGGGCTGAGGAATATCTGGAGCAGTCTGAGGAGAAGTTGTGGCTGGGAGAGCCTGAGGGAACGGCCACCACTGATCGCTGGTGAGTTGCTTTCTGGGTTGTTGTGAACGGAATACAACATTGAACAGTTTTCCCGCCTCCCCCAACCTCCTCCATCTGCATTCTCAAACCAACTTACAGGCAGGCCTCTTTTTTTCTACTTTATTCATTAATGTTTCCACTTGTATTACTGGCCTTGCAAATTGGTATTCAATTATAGGCAAGAATTCTACCTATCCTACCAGAAGTTCATAACTTTACCTTATGTACTTTGTTCCCTTTTTAATTTTGAGCTTGCTACTTTCTCTCTATTCCTTCTCTTTGCATAGTTGAGGTAGGGAAAGGTAAAAAGATGTAGCTAGTGCTGAACTGCTCCTGCCCAAATGTCCTTCTTTAATGTAAATTGGAGATGGTAGCTCCTCAACTAGAGAGTGCAATAGTGTCACCCTCTGTTTTTCTCCTGTAGGTACTGTACTTACCACGGGCTGGGATTGGGGAATAGCATGGGGAAGGTGGTGGTTGATTGGATGGTAAAATGGGATTTCCTTATCTATTTCAGGTATGATGAATATCATCCTGAGGAGGATCTGCAGCACACAGCTAGTGACTTTGTGGCCAAGGTGGATGACCCCAAATTGGCTAATTCTGAGGTGAGCCACATCCCATTGCTGCTGAGCTTAGCAAAGCTGGTCTTGGAAGGCAAGAGTCTTATTTCTCTTACCCAACTTAACTTTAAGGAAAAGTAGATGAGGTCCTAGTTGTCCATTCCTTCCTCTCTGGAGAATGGAGACTTAGGATCCTGCTTATTCCTTCCAACATCTTTCCCTCATTTCCTTGCCCACCAACCTTCTGTCTTATCTGGTATGTTCTTAAATCTTTAGAGGCAGGGATCCCTTTCTTCTCTTTGCTTTTTCCAGGGCCTTTAGCATATCTTGTCTATAGCTAGAGATGGTCAGGGGGAGGGGCAAGCACAGGTTTTTCTGGGCATGGTTGAGTGCACACCTGGAAGTCCTCTCCCAAGGTGCCTATATGTGTCTCTGTGCCCCAGTTCCTGAAATTCGTGCGGCAGATTGGCGAGGGGCAGGTGTCCCTGGAGTCCGTTGCAGGGTCGGGCCGAGCTCAGGCAGAACAGTGGGCAGCAGAGTTTATTCAGCAGCAGGTAGGACATTGTCACTTCTCAGTCCCGCTTGAGAGTCAGCTGGTGCCCCAGGCCTTGGTTCAGTGTTCATTGATCCCAGATGGGGAAGGGATTTTATTGCCAGCTTGTCTTGGTAGCTTTCAGGTCCTGAGTGGGTGGGAGTGAGATTCTGAGAATGCTCTTCTCAGCATGTCCAGGCTGGTGGTGTTTAGTGGGTTTATAGTCTGTTTTAGTGGTTAGAAAGTTGGTGATAGTATTGACCATCTTTCTTTGTCACAGGGTACCTCAGAGGCCTGGGTTGATCAGTTCACAAGACCAGTAAACACATCTGCACTTGACATGGAATTTGAACGAGCTAAGTCGGCTATAGAGGTAAGAGCAGATGGTGCAAGATTGGGCACTCTGAGAGCACCTATTCCTTTGGAGAATGGGTTATTAACATCAAAGGTGATGAATGCTGTATTTCATAATGTATCTGGATTGTCTGTGAGAGAATTGTGTAGCAGTGGTGTGGCTCCTTTTCAAAACTGAGACTTCTGGACACCACTGCAGACCACTGCATTGGAATCTGGGGATAGGATCTGGGAATCTGCTTTTAAAAAACCTCATCCGAGGAGTCCTTAACAAATTGAAATTTAAGACCTGTGGCCTTAGGGAGTGCATTCTCTGTGAAACTGAGGGTGGGGCAGGGTGGTTATGAAGGATCTCCTTTCTCTACTTGCCTTCCCTTCCTTACAGTCTGATGTCGATTTCTGGGACAAGTTGCAGGCAGAGTTGGAGGAGATGGCAAAACGGGATGCTGAGGCTCACCCCTGGCTCTCTGACTATGATGATCTTACATCTGCTTCATATGATAAGGTAGGGGGACTCCTAGTTTTCCAGGTTCCAGAAATTCCTTCTTTAGTGATTTTTCCTTTACCCTGAATTTGAAGACTGTTCACATTAGATGAATTTTCTTGAAACCACTTTCCATGAAAAGCAGTGTGAATCATATCTTTGTCCCTATGTTCCTTCAGCAATTGAATATATACTTTATTATTGTAATACAGAGGTTAATGAGGCTACTTATGTCAAATAACGACAGTACAGTGATGTAATACTTATGAAGGTGGTTTGTACATGAACACAGATGAAGTTACTCTGGTTTGGATATTGAACTGGGAAGAATTGATAAAAGATGGTTAACTTCTTTGGTAGGAAGCAGTAGTTGATAGACTGTCCCTCTGCCTCTACACCTTAATAAATCTCTTTTTTTACTGCACAAGTTCAACTTAAGTTCTAATCTCTTTACATAGTTAACCAATCAGTTGCCCCAATTTAGGGTTTCAAAGAATTATATTAAATAACTTAAATAATAGAAAAATTTCCCAGTAGTCAGTGGTGAAAGATTATTGAATTTTGCATAGAGCATGCATGTGCTGTTGACCTAGAAGCATGTTACTTGAGCAGTCTCACTGTAAAAACAATCTGTGTTGGGGAGTGTGACTAATAATTAAACTCTTGTGTTGAAGCATAGGGTGGAAAGGAAAGAATTGCTTGGTTTTGAAAAAAGGCAAAAAGGAACTGAGTGATTCCTTTTCTTAGCTCATATATGATTGGGGAAGGATTCTGGGGCTAGAACCAGAGCCTGAGATACAAAGCAGAGTGGTAGAGGCAGATGTTGACTTAAGGGAACTGTACAAAGACAGGGAGAATGAAATTTAGAGTAACTTAAAAAAGGTAAGGATTTAAGAGCCGGTGAATAATTTAGTCCTAGGAAAGATATGATTTTGCTTATTTTTACAACATGATCTTGGCTTTTCTGAAAAGTATTCTGGGGGAATATTATAAAGGAGATTTTACTTCTTTTACCATAATATGAGTTCCTCCTATAGAATTCTGATAAGGGAGAATAGAAAGATATACCTATAGATAATACTTTTATTAATTTTAAGAGGTAAGTTACATATTGTAGATAAAATTCTTGAACCCTTTTAATATTATTGATATGTTGAAATATTGCAAAATTAGGATTAGAAACATTTGCATTAATGTTCCACACAAAAAAATGTTATGCTTTTTTTTTTTAAACTAGTGAACAATTCAGATTCTATTTGGCTTTAATCTAGTGGATATTGAATTATATGTCAATAATACTTTTTTTAAAAAGTGGATCTTTTGATTGTCAAATAAATTTCTAGGTCTCTTTGAATGTACTTTTTTTTTTTTTTGACAACCCTTAAATTTTCAGAGGTAACTTAACAAGTACTTGCTCAAGTATGGATTAAATAGACTGCTGCCATGTGAGAGAAGTTTCTGTGATGGGAGGTACTCTATTTGTATTTCTGTAGAATGATCTTAGGAGATTTTGGAAGAGACCAGATAGTGAATGAGACATAGCATAACGATTGGCTTGGATATATTTATATATATTATTTAGGATATAAAGTGATGCTATATATATAAAGTGATGCTAGACTTATTCTGCATTCTGCAGATTGTTATGGTTTCCTTTAGAGTATTCTTTTTCCATCTATGCAGACATTCTAATTTTGAAAAATTCTTCTTTTTTTTTTTTTTTTTTAATTGTTGGTTATTCAAAACATTACATAGTTCTTGATGTATCATATTTCACCCTTTGATTCAAGTGGGTTATGAGCTCCCATTTTTACCCCATATACAGATTGCAGAATCACATCAGTTACACATCCATTGATTTACATATTGCCATACTAGTGTCTGTTGTGTTCTGCTGCCATTCCTATCCTCTACTATCCCCCCCTCCCCTCTTCTCTCTCTGCCCCCTCTACTGTCATTCATTTCTCCCCCTTGTATTATTTTTCCCTTTCCCCTCACTTCCTCTTGTATGTACTTTTGTATAACCCTGAGGGTCTCCTTCCATTTCCATGCAGTTTCCCTTCTCTCTCCCTTTCCCTCCCACCTCTCATCCCTGTTTAATGTTAATCTTCTTCTCATGCTCTTCGACCCTACTTTGTTCTTAGTTACTCTCCTTATATCAAAGAAGACATTTGGCATTTTTTTTTTAGGGATTGGCTAGCTTCACTTAGCATAATCTGTTCTAATGCCATCCATTTCCCTGTAAATTCTATGATTTTGTCATTTTTTAATGCAGAGTAATACTCCATTGTGTATAAATGCCACATTTTTTTTATCCATTCGTCTATTGAAGGGCATCTAGGTTGGTTCCACAGTCTTGCTATTGTGAATTGTGCTGCTATGAACATCGATGTAGCAGTGTCCCTGTAGCATGCTCTTTTTAGGTCTTTAGGGAATAGACCGAGAAGGGGAATAGCTGGGTCAAATGGTGGTTCCATTCCCAGCTTTCCAAGAAATCTCCATACTGCTTTCCAAATTGGCTGCACCAATTTGCAGTCCCACCAGCAATGTACAAGTGTACCCTTTTCCCCACATCCTCGCCATCACTTGTTGTTGTTTGACTTCATAATGGCTGCCAATCTTACTGGAGTGAGATGGTATCTTAGGGTGGTTTTGATTTGCATTTCTCTGACTGCTAGAGATGGCGAGCATTTTTTCATGTACTTGTTGATTGATTGTATGTCCTCCTCTGAGAAGTGTCTGTTCAGGTCCTTGGCCCATTTGTTGATTGGGTTGTTTGTTATCTTATTGTCTAAATTTTTGAGTTCTTTGTATACTCTGGATATTAGGGCTCTATCTGAAGTGTGAGGAGTAAAGATTTGTTCCCAGGATGTAGGCTCCCTATTTACCTCTCTTATTGTTTCTTTTGCTGAGAAAAAACTTTTTAGTTTGAGTAAGTCCCATTTGTTGATTCTAGTTATTAACTTTTGTGCTATGGGTGTCCTATTGAGGAATTTGGAGCCCGACCCCACAGTATGTAGATCGTAGCCAACTTTTTCTTCTATCAGACGGCGTGTCTCTGATTTGATATCAAGCTCCTTGATCCATTTTGAATTCACTTTTGTGCATGGCGAGAGAAAGGGATTCAGTTTCATTTTGTTGCATATGGATTTCCAGTTTTCCCAGCACCATTTGTTGAAGATGCTATCCTTCCTCCATTGCATGCTTTTAGCACCTTTATCAAATATAAGGTAGTTGTAGTTTTGTGGATTGGTTTCTGTGTCCTCTATTCTGTACCATTGGTCCACCCGCCTGTTTTGGTACCAGTACCATGCTGTTTTTGTTACTATTGCTCTGTAGTATAGTTTGAAGTCTGGTATCGCTATACCGCCTGATTCACACTTCCTGCTTAGCATTGTTTTTGCTATTCTGGGTCTTTTATTTTTCCATATGAATTTCATGATTGCTTTCTCTATTTCTACAAGAAATGCCGTTGGGATTTTGATTGGCATTGCATTAAACCTATAGAGGACTTTTGGTAATATCGCCATTTTGATGATGTTAGTTCTGCCTATCCATGAACAGGGTATATTTTTCCATCTTCTAAGATCTTCTTCTATTTCTCTCTTTAGGGTTCTGTAGTTTTCATTGTATAAGTCTTTCACCTCTTTTGTTAGGTTGATTCCCAAGTATTTTATTTTTTTTGAAGATATTGTGAATGGAGTGGTTGTCCTCATTTCCATTTCAGAGGATTTGTCGCTGATATACAGGAATGCCTTTGATTTATGCGTGTTGATTTTATATCCTGCCACTTTGCTGAATTCATTTATTAGCTCTAATAGTTTCTTTGTAGAGCCTTTTGGGTCTGCTAGGTATAGAATCATGTCATCAGCAAATAGTGATAATTTAAGTTCTTCTTTTCCTATTTTTATGCCTTTAATTTCTTTCGTCTGTCTAATTGCTCTGGCCAGTGTTTCGAGAACTATGTTGAACAGAAGTGGTGAGAGAGGGCATCCCTGTCTTGTTCCAGATTTTAGAGGGAATGCCTTCAATTTTTCTCCATTCAGAATGATGCTAGCCTGAGGCTTAGCATAGATTGCTTTTACAATATTGAGGTATGTTCCTGTTATCCCTAGTTTTTCTAGAGTTTTGAACATAAAGGGATGCTGTACTTTGTCGAATGCTTTTTCCGCATCTATCGAGATGATCATATGGTTCTTATTTTTAAGTCTATTGATGTGGTGAATAACATTTATTGATTTCCGTATATTGAACCAGCCTTGCATCCCAGGGATGAATCCTACTTGATCATGGTGCACAATTTTTTTGATAAGTTTTTGTATCCGAGTGGCCAGAATTTTATTGAGGATTTTTGCATCTAGGTTCATTAGAGATATTGGTCTGTAGTTTTCTTTCTTTGAAGTGTCTTTGTCTGGTTTAGGTATCAGGGTGATGTTGGCCTCGTGGAATGAATTTGGAAGTTCTCCCTCTTTTTCTATTTCCTGAAGTAGCTTGAAAAGTATTGGTATTAGTTCCTCTTTAAAGGTTTTGTAAAACTCTGCTGTATACCCATCCGGTCCTGGGCTTTTCTTAGTTGGTAGTCTTTTGATGGTTTCTTCTATTTCCTCAATTGATATTGGTCTGTTTAGGTTGTCTATATCTTCCTGACTCAATCTGGGCAGATCATATGACTTAAGAAATTTATCGATGCCTTCACTATCTTCTAATTTATTGGAGTATAAGGATTCAAAATAATTTTTGATTATCTTCTGTATTTCTGAAGTGTCTGTTGTGATATTGCCTTTTTCATCCCGTATGCTAGTAATTTGAGTTCTCTCTCTTCTTCTCTTTGCTAGCATGGCTAAGGGTCTGTCGATTTTGTTTATTTTTTCAAAGAACCAACTTTTAGTTTTGTCAATTTTTTCAATTGTTTCTTTTGTTTCGATTTCATTAATTTCAGCTCTGATTTTAATTATTTCTTGCCTTCTACTTCTTTTGCTGTTGTTTTGCTCTTCTTTTTCTAGGATTTTGAGATGAAGTATGAGATCATTTATTTGTTGGTTTTTTCTTTTTTTAAGGAATGAACTCCACGCAATGAATTTTCCTCTTAGAACTACTTTCAATGTGTCCCATAGATTCCGATATGTTGTGTCTGTGTTTTCATTTATCTCTAAGAATTTTTTAATTTCCTCCTTGATGTCTTCTATAACCCATTGATCATTCAGTAACCTATTGTTCATTCTCCAAGTGATGTATGCTTTTTCCTTCCTTCTTTTATCGTTGATTTTCAGTTTCATTCCATTATGATCAGATAAGATGCATGGTATTATCTCTACTCCTTTGTATTGTCTAAGAGTTGCCCTGTGACATAATATGTGATCTATTTTTGAGAAGGATCCTTGTGCTGCTGAGAAAAAAGTGTAACTGCTTGATGTTGGGTAGTATATTCTATATTTGTCAATTAAGTCTAGGTTATTAATTGTGTTATTGAGTTCTATAGTTTCCTTATTCAACTTTTGTTTGGAAGATCTGTCCATTGGTAAGAGAGGTGTGTTGAAGTCTCCCATGATTATTGTATGGTGGTCTATTAGACTCTTGAACTTGAGAAGAGTTTGTTTGATGAACATAGCTGCACCATTGTTTGGGGCATATATATTTATGATTGTTATGTCTTGTTGGTGTATGGTTCCCTTGAGCAGTATGTAGTGTCCCTCTTTATCCCTTTTGATTAACTTTGGCTTGAAATCTATTTTATTTGATATGAGTATGGACACACCTGCTTGTTTCCGAGGTCCATATGAGTGATATGATTTTTCCCAACCTCTCACCTTCAGCCTATGTATGTCTTTTCCTATCAAATGCGTCTCCTGTAGGCAGTATATTGTTGGGTCTTGTTTTGTGATCCATTCTACTAGCCTGTGTCTCTTAATTGGTGAGTTTAAGCCATTAACATTTAGGGTTATTATTGAGATATGGGTTGTTCTTCCAGCCATATTTGTTTATTTCTGTTACTAAACATGGTTTGTTTTCCTCTTTGATTATTTTCCCCCCTTTACTGTCCTACCTCCCACTGTTGGTTTTCATTGTTATTTTCCATTTCCTCCTCCTGTAATGTTTTGCCGAGGATGTTTTGAAGAGATGGTTTTCTAGCTGCAAATTCTTTTAACTTTTGTTTATCGTGGAAGGTTTTAATTTCATCTTCCATCCTGAAGCTTAATTTCGCTGGATACACAATTCTTGGTTGGAACCCATTTTCTTTCAGTGTTTGAAATATGTTATTCCAGGATCTTCTAGCTTTCAGAGTCTGTGTTGAAAGATCAGCTGTTATCCTGATTGGCTTACCCCTAAATGTAATCTGCTTCCTTTCTCTTGTAGCTTTTAAAATTCTCTCCTTATTCTGTATGTTGGGCATCTTCATTATAATGTGTCTAGGTGTGGATCTCTTATGATTTTGCTCATTCGGCGTCCTGTAGGCTTCTAGGATTTGGGATTCTGTCTCATTCTTCAAGTCTGGGAAGTTTTCTCGTATTATTTCATTGAATAGATTGCTCATTGCTTTGGTTTGAAACTCTGTCCCTTCCTGTATCCCAATGACTCTTAAATTTGGTCTCTTGATGTTATCCCATATTTCTTGGATGTTCTGCTCATGGTTTCTTAACAGTCTTGCTGAGCTGTCTATGTTCTTTTCAAGTTGAAATACTTTATCTTCATTGTCTGATGTTCTATCTTCTAAGTGTTCTACTCTGCTGGTAGTATTCTCAATTGAGTTTTTAAGTTGGTTTATTGCTTCCTGCATTTCTAGGATTTCTGTTTGTTTGTTTTTTATAACCTCTATCTCCCTGTATAGTTGATCTTTTGGTTCTTGGATTTGTTTATGTAATTCATTGTTGAAGTGATCTTTCATTGTCTGATTTTGCTGTCTGATGTCTTCCTTGAGACTCCAGATCATCTGAAGCATGTGTATCCTGAATTCTTTATCTGACATTCCATCTGCTGCAGCTATTACCTCTTCTAACGTTGAGTTGACCTGCATTGCTTGTGGTCCTTTCTTTCCTTGTCTCTTCATACTGTTCGCGTTTCTTTCTGCTTGGTGAAACTTTGTGCTATTGAATTTTCCCCCTATATATTTATATTGGTCTTGTATAGTTGCAAAGTCTCCCTCGCAGGCGCGGGCGGCGGCTCTGCCCCTCCTCCAATTGGGGCAATGTGCCTCCCACGCCGGCAGGCCGCTGGGCCTGTTCTGCTGGTTGGTAGCAGGTCCGCCTACCTTGCAGGCGCGGGCGGCGGCTCTGTCCCTCTGCGGGCCGCTAGGCTTGTTCTGTCGGTGGTCGCAGTTCTGCCTACTTTGCAGGTGCAGGCATCGGCACTGCCCCTCTGCAGGCCTCTGGGGCTGTTCTGCCGGTGGGTCGCAGGTCCGCCTACCTTGCAGGTGCGGGGGGGGGGGCAGCTCTACCCTTCCTCAGGCCACTGGGCCTGTTCTGTTTGTCAGTTGCATGTCTGGCCTGTTCTGTTGGTGGTCACAGTTCCGCCTACCTTGCAGGCGCGGGAGGTGGGGGCGGCTCTGCCTCTCAGCAGGCCGCTGCTCCTGTTCTGCCGGTGGGTCGCAGGTCCGCCTACCTTGCAGGAGTGGTTGGCAGCTCTGCCCCTCCGTGGGCCACTGGGCCTTTTCTGTTGGTGGTCACAGTTCTGCCTACCTGGTAGGCGCGGGGGTGGGGTGGGGTGGGGTAGGGGGCGGCTCTGCCCCTCAGCAGGCTGCTGGGCCTGTTCTGTGGGTGGTCACAGTTCCGTCTACCTTGCCGGCGCCGAAAAATTCTTCTTTGAATAGCAATTGATGAGCCTTCAGGGAGGATAGATAGCAAAGATCAGGGGAAACTTAGAGAATACTGCAGTTGAAAGATTCTGGCATTGATTTGTCTTATTGTCTACTGAAGACACATGAATAGTATTCAGATCACTCCTGGCTGTCGCACAAACAAGCCATTATATCTCAAGGAAATATCTAGAACAATGAGGATAATATTATTTATAAATAGTATATTAAGCTTTTGTTACAGCTTTGGTGAATATACTCATTTGATGCTCTTAGTAGCTTTGAGAGGTAGAAATTACATTCATTAGGAAATTACAACATAGATGACCATAATCTCTTTCCCCAAGAGTAGCTTAAAGCATAGATTGATGATGGATGGTGGTTAAGGTTTGAATATAAAGGATTTATTTTATTGAATTCTGGTAGTCTAGGGTGGAGGTTGGCAAACTATGGAATAAATCCACATGCCACCTGTTGTTATTATGGTTCACTGAGAATGGTTTCAACATTTTTAAATGGTTGAAAAAAATTTAAAAGAAGAGTAATATTTGGTGATACATAAAAAATAAAGTTCAAAATTCATTGTCCATAAATAAAGTTTTACTAGAACATAGCTGGACTCTTTACTAATCCCTGAACTTGGGTCCTATTCTGCCTTTTGAGTTTTTAATATTGTACAAAAATTTCCCGAAATCTATTTCCCAAAAACTATTTCAACATTATTATACTTTACCTCAGATCCATCTCCTACAGTGTAATCTCACTTCATGAACCACCTGTTGTAAATATTCAGTTTTCCGTTGTGACAAATGACTTGTCACTGAAGACTTAGAATAGTTTCGAACTTTGCTGAAATACTTCACCAAAATCACAAAAAAATAATGAAACGGCCTCATGTCTTTATTATGTACAGTTTCATCCTAATTTGTCCTTAACTATATTATGTTTTAATCTATGTTTAAAAAGGCTCTGTCTGGTATTTTGCTTCTTGTTTTCATTCTGTATGCTGTTTTGTAATGGTAAGTATTTACTTCCCAAATAGGAGCATTTTATTTGCTTGTCTCAAGTCATATGTCTTGCTAGTGACTTTTCATCTAATCTTAAAACTACCCCACTTACATAAATTGCTAGTTGACAAGCTGGGTGCAGTGGCACAGGCTTTTATCCCAGCTCCTGAGGTGGCTGAGCAGGAAGATTGCAAATTTGAGGCCTCCTTGGACAATTTAGTGAGACCCTGTCTCAGAAAAAAAAGGGTCTGAGGATGTAGTTCAGTGGTAGGGTGTCCCTGGGTTCAATCCCTAGTAACACACAAACACACATACAGAAAGAAATGCCTTCTGTCCAGTGGTAAGAAGTCAAAGATATGGAAATGCACATCTATGAATTGCCCAGCATGGATCAGAGTTGGTAGACTGTCCTACCTTTTTAGTCATTATAAATAGGAGAAGGCAGCATGAATCTTTTTTTTTTTTAATATTTTTTAGTTGTTAATGGACCTTTATTTATATGTGGTGCTGAGAATTGAACCCAGTGCCTCACACACATGCTAGGCAAGAGCTCTACCCTGAGCCACAACCCCAGCCCGGCAGCATGAATCTTATACTGAGTGATTTTACTTAGTTATAGATGATCTTTATAATACAGAGAATTTGCCATCAGTTAATACAGATAACTTAACTTCTCTACTACCTCTGTCTTGTTTGTTCTCTTCCTGTCCCTGCTGCTCTGATTGTGGTGGTTCTCTACTACCTCTGTCTTGTTTGTTCTCTTCCTGTCCCTGCTGCTCTGATTGTGGTGGTTCCCTTTTGGACAACTTCTCACTTACATTCCTCCTTGTAGGGATACCAATTTGAGGAGGAGAATCCCCTGCGTGATCACCCTCAGCCTTTTGAAGAAGGACTACGGCGGCTTCAGGAGGGGGACCTGCCAAATGCTGTGCTGCTTTTTGAGGCTGCTGTGCAGCAGGATCCTAAGCATATGGAAGTGAGTTACTCATTGTTCTGACTGCTCCCTCCAGTTTTGAGAGAGACCCCAAAGATGGTGGTGCAGATGGATCAGGTCTGGGTTGGGGTCTAGGTTTGGGTGATGAGAGATGGTGAGTGGGGGAGGTCTGAGGAAGGGAGGATGGAAAGACTACAAAGATGATGGGATCTGTCAACTTCTCTCTAGGCTTGGCAGTATCTGGGTACTACTCAGGCAGAGAACGAGCAAGAACTTTTAGCCATCAGTGCGTTGCGGAGGTGAGTATGCTAAAAGATGAGGACTAGGTTTTCTAGGGCTCTGCAATAGTCTTTAGATTGGTGAGAACCCAGAACCAGATCTTTGACTTCTTTCTGGCCATTAACACTCGTGTTGTCTCATGACGAAACTCTGAGGTTTGGAATGAGTGGGAGAGAACTGGTTCTACTCTTTTGTCAGTTTTTGGTTTTATCTGTGGGAACCTAGTTGGTTCCTTGGCAGCTAAAACTTTCCCTACTTCTTGGGTCTGAAATTTTGTTATTAACTCAGATATCAAAGGATTCTTTTCTGTATTAATTTGAGAGGGTGGGAAAGGTTGAGGCCAGCATGATTGTATTGCAAAGCTTGGCTTTGACCCCTGGGAGCTCATGGTGCCAGCGTCACTGTAGATGATGTGTCTGCTTATCCCTGCCCAAACAGGTGTCTGGAGCTAAAGCCAGATAACCGGACAGCACTCATGGCGCTGGCTGTGAGCTTCACCAATGAGTCCTTGCAGCGACAGGCCTGTGAAACCCTGCGAGACTGGCTGCGCTACACACCGGCCTATGCCCATCTGGTGGCACCTGGTGAAGAAGGGACTGGTGGGGCAGGACTGGGCCCCAGCAAGCGTGTCTTGGGATCTCTGTTGTCTGAGTGAGTGTGAGGGGTTCCTGGGATGAGGCATGGTAGAGTCCCTGTGGGTGTGTGACCTTGATTTTGGAAGTTAGGATAGATTGAGATCTATTGAGTGGGATGGGAAACTTGGAAGGAGGTCTGCATTCTACTATGCAGTACAGGGGTGGAACAGAAAAACAGGTTTCTAAATTTGAATTTGGAAGTAGGAGGGATGGATGATATGTTGATCAATCTTGGGGATATGATTGACTTCTTAAGGATTTGAGAAGTAGGAATGTAGATGTATCTGTTTACCTACTTTTTGGTGTTTTTCCCCTCCTTACCCAGCTCCCTGTTTCTTGAAGTAAAAGAGCTCTTCTTGGCAGCTGTACGCCTGGACCCTACCTCCATCGACCCCGATGTGCAGTGTGGCTTAGGAGTCCTCTTCAACCTGAGTGGGGAGTATGACAAGGCCGTGGACTGTTTCACAGCTGCCCTCAGTGTTCGTCCCAATGTGAGTTTTAGGAAGGAATGGAAATGGGACTTAACTTTGTACCTTGTTGAAGAATCACTGTGCACAGGATATATAAATACATATATGTATATGTGTATATATATATATTTTTTTATATGTACATTTTACTTTATTATATATATTTTAGTTGTACAGATACAATATTTATTTTTATAAATAATATATTCATAAATAAATATTTATTTTTATGTAGTGCTGAGGATTGAACCTAGTTCCTCACATGTGCTAGGCAAGTACACTATCACTGAGCTACAACTCCAGACCTGCACAGGATATTTCATTCCAGTGTTTTCCTTGCAAGGGCTAGGAAAAGAAGGGCAGGAAGACAGGGTCTTCTGGACCCTGGGGAGTTTGCATGGGGTAAGAGGGTTACATTGTGACCACTGAGAAGATAGAGTGGGTTAGTAAAACCCATTAGCTGAACAGAGTAGTGAAGCAGGGGGAGGAATGGGCAGAATTTGATCTAAGCCTAGCTCATGTTCCCAGCCCTTCTCCATCCCTATCCCAGGACTACTTGCTGTGGAATAAACTGGGAGCCACCCTGGCCAATGGAAACCAGAGTGAAGAAGCAGTGGCTGCATACCGCAGGGCCCTGGAGCTACAGCCTGGCTACATCCGGTCTCGTTACAACCTGGGCATAAGCTGCATTAACCTTGGGGCTCACCGGTGAGTCTGCCTGTTGTATCATGAGCAGGTGCACTGTTCTCCCTAGCTCCTTGTTCTCTGATCCTGTCACTTGACTAAATAACCCCAATTATCTTCCTCCCTGTCACCTCCTCTGTTTCCTTCCATTGTTCTGCTCACCAGCTGCTATTTCTCCTTTTCCCTACAGGGAGGCTGTGGAACACTTTCTGGAGGCCTTGAACATGCAGAGGAAGAGCCGGGGCCCTAGGGGTGAGGGGGGCGCCATGTCAGAAAACATCTGGAGCACCCTGCGTTTGGCTCTGTCTATGTTAGGCCAGAGTGACGCCTACGGGGCGGCTGATGCCCGGGATCTATCTGCCCTCCTAACTATGTTTGGCCTGCCCCAGTGACAGTGGGATGGGCTGCCCTGTGAGTGTCTGCTTGGAGGGGTCTCTGCTCTGGATGTGACTCCCTCTCCCACAGTGGGCCTACCAAGGGGGTGGGCTGATGACCACAAGCGGTATGGCCTCTCAGGAGCTGCTTTAGTGTAGGAGTGGACAGTCTTGTTCTCTAGGTCCTACATAATTGTAGGGAAAGGAGCTGTTGTCGGAGTCCCTTGGTAATTCAAGGGCTTTATGTCCAGCTACAGATCTCTCTCTGTTCATCACACCCTTTCTTGGTGCTGCTTTTTCGGTAGGACCCAAGGATATAGGGTAACTGTTGTTATCAACTGCCATTTCTGATAGGGTCTACCACATTGTAATGTCTGTTCTTTTACTTGGAATTGGTAATAGTCCCGCTTGCTTCCTTAGGCAGTTGTGTGTAGGAGGCTCTTCTGCTCTGCATCTCTAACGGTGGCTCTGTCTGGGATGGGCTGTGTTGGAAGCCAGCCTGTTTGATTAAAATGTCTGTTTAGCGCTGCAGAGCTGAGTTTTGGTAGGGTGCTGATGGTTTTGTCATTCTTGGACCTCCCTGGCTGTGAGCTTGGATTCCTTGTGAGTGCCATGCTGATGCAGTAATGCTAGTACTCTATGGAACAGGAACAGCTAGGGTCAGAAAGTCTTTGGGTGTGGAGAAGAAGGAAAGCTTATGTGTGTGGGGGGCTTGGAGGGGACTATGTAGGAACAGATTAGGGGCTCTGTCCTGGGGTCTTTGGTGGAAGGATAGAGGGGTGTGGTGAATGCAGCAGTTCCTCTTCTTAGAAAGATTTGTGAGTAGGAGTTGAGCTAACTCTTGTAGAAAGTTGATTTGGAAATTGCAGTCTTGCCAAATTCCTAGTAAAGAGGGGGTTCAGTGTTACCATAAGCCTTTGCTATACTTCTTGAAATGTTTCTAGGGGTGAGTGTTATAAAATCCCTTTCCCCCATATCACCTCTACAAGATGAAGATTGAGGGGAGCTGAGGGAGCAGCTTGGATGCTTCTCATCTGTTCCCCTGCTTGGAGAGACGCACTAACCTCCAGAAACGACTGCTAAGCCTCTTGCCTTGTTTTTAGTAGCTAATGATCAGAGAGATTTTTTTTTTAAACTACCATGGTCCCAAGGTTCCATCCTGAAATTTATTTTTCTTTGTATGGATATGTATAAATGATTTAAAAAACTGTAAAATATTTGTATGAAAAATAAATAAAACTAATGTGAGTATGAGTTCTGCTGTTGGATATGAAGCTGTGGTGGCAGGAGTTGGGTTGGTGTTTGGAGGATTGGTATGCAACAATTTTTCTCTCTTTATCTTCCAAATTCTCATTGGTATACTGATTACCTATCCACCTCTGCAGTGTTATTGATCACCTAGTATCTGCTTGGGAGTGTGGAGAAGATGACTTTAGCCCAGACCACTGTGTGTATGGGGTGTATGGGTTAGCAGGAGAGATGGATATTTAACAGTCATGGATTTCTTTTTTTTTTTTTTTTAAATATTTATTTATTTAGTTAGTTATTGGTGGACACAACATCTTTGTTTGTATGTGGTGCTGAGGATCGAACCCGGGCCGCACGCATGACAGGGAGCGCGCTACCACTTGAGCCACATCCCCAGCCCACAGTCATGGATTTCTACAGTTGTGTTACTATTACAAAGGAAAATATGGTGTTGTATGATCGTTCAGTTGTTTTGGTGAATTATGTGAAAGGATTTTAATCTTTTTTTTTTTTTTCAGTGCTTAGGTCTAAAGGTTTTCATCTGGTTCTACCTGGACTTACCAGGAACTATATCAAGAGCCATATCTGTATGGGCATCTTATCTTTTTTTTTGTTTTGGGGTACCGGAATTGAACTCGGGGGCATTCAACCACTGAGCTACATCCCCAGCCCAGTTTTGTATTTTATTTAGAGACAGGGTCTTACTGAGTTGCCTTGCGCCTTGTTTTTTGCTGAGGCTGGTTTGAACTCACAATCCTGCCTCAGCCTCCTAAGCTGCTGGGATTACGGGCATGTGCCACTGTGCCCGGCTCTTTTTTTTTTTTAATAATTTTTTTTCTTATATTTTATTTTTTAGTTGTAGTTGGACACAGTACCTTTATTTTATTTTTATGTGGTGCTGAAGATTAAACCCAGGGCCTCGAATATGCTAGGTTAACGCTCTGCCGCTGAGCCACAACCCCAGCCCTTTGTTTCCACATTTTTTATTGGTGCATTATTATAGTTATATCTATCGATGGAATTTGTTGTTACATATTCATACATGCACATAGTATAACAATATAATTTGGTCCATGTCACTCCCCATGGACATCCATCTTTTTTTTTTTTTTTTTGAATACCGAGGATTGAACTCAGATGCACTCAACCACTGACCACATCCTCAGCCCTATTTTGAATCTTATTTAGAGACAGGGTCTAACTAAGTTGCTTAGTGCCTTGCTTTTGCTGGGGCTGGCTTTGAATTCAAAAACCTCTTGCCTCAGCCTCCCCAGCCGCGGGATTATAGGTGTGTGCCATTGTGCCCGGCATGGGCATCCATTTTGAGGAAGAATTAAAATACAAACAAATGTCCATAACCGTGTCAGAACAGAAAAAAAAAAATGTCTAAAGGAGAACTGGTTCTATAAATTATCCAGTCAGTGAAATATTTAGCTAATTATATTTATGAAACAATTTTTTTATGACAACAAATGCTAAACGTATATTGGGAGAAAAAGCATTAGCAAATTGCTTACTGATTATCTCAAGAAAAAAATTCATTGGAAATAGAACCCCAATATGCTAAAAGTATGAAGAGTTTGAGTGATTTTTCTCCTGCTTCATCATACTTCTTGATAGTTTCCACATTTTCTGAATTTATAGAAAAGAAAATTACACTATGGGGGGAGAGGAACAGGAGGAAGCAGTGACATCTGTTGCCACCTGGATGATCACAGGGCATCTGTGTCAGGCCTCAAAGGGTGGTAATGTAGCCACAGGCATGGGAGTGGGCTGTACAGGCCAAGGCAGTAGTTTCCACACTATAGAGACAGAAGAGGGAAGAAGTTGGACTGAGTAAGTGGCTTAAGAATTGAGCTAACCCTACCTGGGTGCACACCTGTAATCCCAGTGGCTGGGGAGGCTGAGGCAGGATTGCAAGTTCAAAGCCAGCCTCAGCAACTTAGCGAAGCCCTAAGCAACTTAGACCCTGCCTCAAAATAGAAAATAAAAAATTGTGTAGGAGTGTGGCTCAGTGGTTAAGCACCCCTGGGTTCAATCCTTGATGCCAAAAAAATAAAAATAAAAGAGCTAACACCTGATTTAAGCCAAGTTTCCAGGTTCATCTGCTTCACCCATTCTTGGTAACATGAAGGTGTCCAAGAGGATGTTTTTCTTGCATGGTCAGTGCCAGGTATATATTCTGACCCCAAATCAAATCCAGCAAATGTTACTTGATTCCCCCATCAAATACTGTTCCAGGCACCATGATTCAGTTGACAAGGCAGGAAAGTCCTTGCTCTCATGGCTTACATACTTGTGAGGGAAGAGAATGCACAAGTAAATAAGAAAATTTCAGTTGTAAGTGCTGTGAAGAAGTCAAATGGCATAATGTATAGAGAGTAACAGGGAAAGTAAAGGGGGTACAAAACTAGGGGGGTCAGGAAAAGCCTTTCTCATGATCTGCATGACCAGACAGCCATGGGGTGTTCTGGTGGACGAGCCGTCCAGGTCCTGGGGAACAAATGCAAGGCTGTGGTTTGACATTAAAAAGTTCAGAGCACTCTTGCTGGGTATGGTGGCACACACTTGTAATCCCAGTGGTTATGGAGGCTGAAACTGGAGGATCATGAGTTCAAAGCCAGTCTCAGCAAAAGCAAGGCGCTAAGCAACTCAGTGAGACCCTGTCTGTAAATAAATACAACATAGGGCTGGGGATGTGGCTCAGTGGTTGAGTGCCCCTGAGTTCAATCCCTGGTACTCCCCCCCACCAGCAAAAAACAAAAACAAGTTCTGAGCACTCCCAACAGCAAGAAGGCCAGAGAGGCTGAAATGTAAGGAGTGGGGGCAGGAGTAGCAGTCCTGCATACTCTCTACCTCTCCCCTTGCAGCTAAGCTTCTTTAGGGAGCAGGCCAGGCCATTTTTGCTGCTTCCATTCCAGGATATTCCTTTTGCATGTACTGTACTGTTTGCTGCACTCATTGCACTACTGAAACTGATGAGGTTACCAGTTGCTTCACATACTTCCAAGGTCAACAGGCACATTTATTTCTGATCGTATTTGATCTAACTGGCACTTGATCCAGAGGCAGCTCTGCCACACCTGATTGTGCAGGTTGTGCACTGCATAATTCTGGGAGTGTGGAGTGCACTAACATCGTCTACATGAGTGATGCTTTGCAGTGCTGTGCAGAGCAAAATCTTCATGGCCTTATTAAGTGGCCCTGCATTGATGACCACTCTCTAAACTTCCCCCACTGCTATTCTTTTCCCAGGTCTTTCCTGTATCTGTGTCTATCTGCTTCATGAATATTGTTTTTAAGAGCTCAGTTCTTGTCCTTCTGCTTTGCATTAGCCACCCTTGGTGGCTGCATCCACACCTGTGGCTATAAGTGCTGATGACAGTCCAACCTAGTTCTCTACCCCAGGCCTTAGATACACTGCACACTTCCTAGTTCTGTCCCCAACATGTGGGTGTTCCATGGCACCTTAGACTCACCAGATTCAAAATAGGAATATCCTTCCAAAAATCTCATTTCATGTATTTTTGGAGAGGTATGGGGAGAAACCAGTGAGTGAATCTGGATTCTTATTCTTCAGTAACCCTAAGGTCACTCAGTTCTTCGGGATCTACCTCCTCAAAATAGCTCACAAGAAGTCTTCCAATGTTTGTAATTTCCTTAAGTGCTTTTGTTTTGGGGCTCATCATTGTTCTTGGATCACTATGAGAGCTGCTTTCCCCACCACCTCATTTCGCTCACCCCCAACTCCTCATCATCTAAACCAATGTTCTTAGATGTGACATGGGGTCTCTTACTTCTCTAACTTCTCACAACTGTGCAAGACATTCAGAACTTTAATTGATGCCTGTTGAATGAACTGCACGCAAAAGTGTGGATCGAAGAACTAGGAAATGCCAAAATAACCCCTCCTTGTTTGGAGCTAATGTTTTGATTCTCCCCAAGTTGGAAAAGACGGATTGAATTCTTGATACCTTACTTCCACAAGAGAAAGTGCCCTTGTGAAGGGAAGGCTTTGGTAGAGGAGAGCACATTGTCCTGCTGGGTGCAGTGGTGCACACCTGTAATCCCAGCAAGTGGGGAGGCTGAGGCAGAAGGATTGCAGTTCAAAGTCAGCCCCAGAAACTTAGAGAGAACCTGTTTCAAAATAAAGAATGGGCTGGGATGTGGCTCAGTAGATTCAATCCCTGGTACCAAAAAAAAGGTGTTTTCTTTTGTATTTTTTTGATACCCGGTGATTAAACCCATAGGTGCTTAACAACTGAGCCACATACCCAGACCTTAAAAAAGTGGTAGACAAGCACTCTACCACTGAGCCACAACCCCACCCCCACCCCTTTTTTTAAAAATTTTGAGACAAGGTCTTGCTAAATTGCTTAGACTCTCACTAAATTGCTATGGCTGGATTTTTTTAAAAAAATTTTTTACTTAGTTGTATATGGACACAATACCTTATATTTATGTATTTTTATGTGATGCTGAGGGTGGAATCCAGTGCCTTACACATGCTAGGTGAGTGCTCTACCACTGAGCCTCAACCCTATCCCCATGTGGCTGGCTTTTGAGCAGGAAGGATCTTCCTGCCTCAGCTTTCTGAGCCATTAGGATTACAAGCATGTGCCATCATGCCCAGTGCACTGGAATAAACCTTGAAATGAGTTAGAAACCTTGTTCAGCTACTCAGTACAGAAGGGAGAACATAACTCCTGGAAAGGGACTTCTGAAGAGGGTGGGATATATCCTTAGTAGAGGATCCTTAGCACCCAGGGCTCAGGCTTGAGCAGTCACATGGTAGTGGGAAGCTAGCTCTGTGTAGGATGCCCTGGCTCTAAAGACAAAACTGTAGTTCGGCAGCAGAGCTTCCATGTAGGTAGTGAGGGGACCCTGATGCTGAGTTCCAGGGTGGGGGCAGCATGTTAAGGTGGTGCAGGAGGAGGAATCATCTTAGGTATGAATGATCAGTGATGGCCTTGACCCTTGATCACCAGTGGCACTGCAGAAGCCAT